TAAAGGTGTGTTGAGTTTACAGTAAAGGTGTGTTGAGTTTACAGTAAAGGTGTGTTGAGTAAAAAAGTAAAGGTGTGTTGAGTTTACAGTAAAGGTGTGTTAAGTTACAGTAAAGGTGTGTTAAGTTACAGTAAAGGTGTGTTGAGTAAAAGAGTAAAGGTGTGTTGAGTAAAAGAGTAAAGGTGTGTTGAGTTTACAATAAAGGTGTGTTAAGTTACAGTAAAGGTGTGTTAAGTTACAGTAAAGGTGTGTTGAGTTTACAGTAAAGGTGTGTTGAGTAAAGAGTAAGGTGTGTTGAGTTTACAGTAAAGGTGTGTTGAGTAAAGAGTAAGGGTGTGTTGAGTAAAGAGTAAAGGTGTGTTAAGTTTACAGTAAAGGTGTGTTGAATAGATAATAAGGGTGTGTTGAGTTTACAGTAAATGTGTGTTGAGTTGAGAGTAAATGTATGTTAAGTTAGAGTAAAGGTGTGTTGAGTTGACAGTAAAGGTTTGTTAAGTTACAGTAAAGGTGTGTTGATCATGAGTTGAGAGTAAAAGTGTGTTGAGCTAAGAGTAAAGGTCATGTTGCGTTTAGAGATAAGAGATTGTAAAAGTAAAGATGTCAGGTTTTGCAGGTGAAACTGTAAGGAGGAGATTTGCAAATGCAAAGATGTGAAAGGGATTAATGGGCTTAAATAAGGTAGAGATATATAAAAGTAAAAGATTTTGCATAGATGTTTGTAAAGGTGCAGGATACGGATTTAAGTGCTGCATTCTGGGGTCGGATATTCAGCATGAAGATGTGGACTTTACATGTTAGAGTATGCATGGTTTAAAATTGTACCATTAGAAAGTGTTAAGTTGAAATAATGGGCTCAGTGGTTACATTCAACAAAAGTAAAGTTGGATTTGAAAAGTTATTTAAGTTGTTGGAACCAATAATTTAAAATTACTAGGGCTCAGTTGTTAAAAGCATTATGGTAACTTCTTAACTATTTACTCAAATCTGAAAAATATATTTTTTTAACATTTAAAACTATTATTTTCTTTTCTTTTTCTCTTGAAAATCACATTTTATATTAACATATACCATCTTCATCATAAATTTTAGAAATTATAAAACATTGAATTGACTTTTTAGGTAGTGTCTCATTAAGCGTACAGATCTTTCAACCTGGTTGTGGTACAAGTAGTCTGCAGAAAATATATGCTTTAGAAGTAAAGCTGTAATTAAAATGATCACAGTCTCCCATATATAGATCCCAATAGTGGAAACTGAAGGTCATGTAGCCGAGGAAATTTTGTAAATTTGGTGTTCTGTATATATATATATCTTTACTCCGGAGTGTTTTAAGCATGCTCGCTATTTCCATCAATCTTGTAAACATTTTAAATGTCTTCTTTTTTTCAACCTCAAATTTGGAAGTAAATGTGTTTCAGTCGTGAAAATGCATAAATGTAATTACCCAGAGTAATTCCTGACGACTGGGTCTGCATATATATTGCCTTGATGGTCTCTGAGATACATTAATTATAGCCAGCAGGTAATTTGTTTGTATATCATTTAGAATTTGCATATAAATAAATCTCTAAATTTTTAGCCCACTGTCATCTGATGGTGGGCTATTTAAATCACCCTGCGTCTGTGGTCCGTCGTCCGTCCGTTGTCCGTGGTCCGCCGTCCGTCGTCTGTCGTCCGTCGTCCGTCGTCCGTCCGTAAACAATTCTTGTTATCGGTATTTCTCAAGAGGTACCAGAGGGATCTTTCTCAAATTTTATATGCAGGTTCCCCTTGGCCCTTAGCTGTGCAGGGCGACTTTTGAGACTGATAGGATAAACAACATGGCCGACAGGCAGCCATCTTGGATTTTGATAGTGAAAGTTTGTTATCGCTATTTCTCAAGAAGTACTAGAGGGATCTTTCTCAAATTTTAAATGTAGGTTCCCCTTGATCCCTTGTTGTGTATGTTATATTTTGAGACTGATCATAAAAACAAATGGATTAAAAGAAGAACTAAACAGATCTTTCTCATATTGCAATGATCGATTGTATTTCTTTCACATTAAGTACTGTACTAGTAAATATGTGAAATGACAAACTCACTTTGAAGTTTGTCTTTCATACACATCAGTATTAAGTTTAGATCAAAAGTTACTTCAAGGTGCATTTACTGTTAACATGACTCGATCAAACAGATTAGAGGAAAGAATAGAAAAGATCGAACTGATAAAGAACTAATGAAGATGGGACAAAGGTGGGTGCCAAGATCCCTCTGGGATCTCTTGTTAAACTTCACTTGCGTTACTCATAGGTCGTTGTGCAATTTCATGGGTATTTAGCTTTGAAATCTTTTACTGCTGTTTAATCATCACAGTGTTTTATATTTCAGTATATGATTTTTAACATTTGGATGTTATATTCAAATTTGTATACTCTCATGGCTGTAGAGGACACGCCCAATTCTTTTAACTCATTCACCCCTGCATATTGTAACTGGACTTGCCCAGTCTTTGATTCAGTAAGGGTCAAATGTGACTTTAGGGTTGAATGGGTTAATATCACAAAGCCATACGTTATTTTGTGTATGTTATTTTGTGTATGTTAACCACGGTACATTATTTTTGAAAATTGACTTAATCTGGGTCTAACTATAGGGGTCAAAGTTCAGTGTAGGTTATATAATTGGTATAATTAGGATATTATCGGTTAACAAATTGTCCTGCTAATGCTTTTCATGCACAACATGTAAATAAAATACATACTAAGTGGAAAATACAGGCCCCTTGATGCTTTTGTAGATACAAAATGAGATAAACTGCACAGGTGGTGGTATGTTGGGTTGAAATTGGTACATTATCAATTATATTTTTATTTAAATTTAAATCAAAGCAACAGACAGAGTACAGATTGGCAATCTATCAGCTAATATTGACTTGAATATTTAAATTCTATGAGGGCTGAATAATGTGATAGTTAAAAATGTGAAAATATTGGAATTACGTTATTTCGTGGAAATTTGAAGCCAATTCAGAATCTTGTTTTTAATTGAATAGTTTCTAATTAATATGTATGCAAATAGATGGCATAATTGTTACAAATTCTATTAAAAATGAAGTTGAGATATCAGTTTGAAATTTAAAAGTCATAAATGCTATGTAGAGTGATGGTGTATTTTGTTAAAGTCAGTGATATAACCGTGAGAGCCTCGATGGCCGAGTGGTAAATAAGGTGTCTGACCATCTAACCACTAGCCCTACACCACTGGGTTGTTGGTTTGAGGGTATACATGGGGTAGTTACCATATTCGGGGTACCAGTTTTCCTCCACCACCAAAATCTGGCACGTCTTTAAATGACCGTAGCTGTTTATAGGACGTAAAACACAAACAAACCAAACCAAGCAGTGATAGGACCACAGTGATTAGAGATAGGTAAAGGTTATCAAGGTGACTGATGATGAGGGAGTGAGATAAACCCAGTCACAACAAACACTGATCAAGTCCTACTATTTTAGGTAGGGAGAAATCGGAGATAAACCTCTTATATATGACGTTCAGGTGAATGTTGTGACTGATCGGGGTTTATAAAATTAATTAAAATCTCATATACCCTGACGTCCATAACGGGAATATTAATTAGATATAAGATACATCAAACCACAAAAAGATGGGACATCGACCCTGTACAAGTAAATGAGATATTGATTAAATATATGATTTACATGAGATACTTGCAATGGGTGTTTAGGAAAAAAAAGGAAATTTCATGTGCTCATGCAGTTACATGTACATCTGTAAGTTGTATTAATGAATATTGAAAAAAAAATTAAAAAAATATTAAAGTTTAAAATGTTAATTGTAAATTGTAGGCACATTTTGTATAGTAGGATCAAGACCAGTCAGCTGATGTATAAGGTTGTCCACTCAGTAATAAAACTAAAACATCATATGACAAGGAAACTCTTACTTAATGTAAATGTTTTAAAAACATATTTCAAAATTGCCTATTGTCATTGCATGAATATGTATTTACATCTATTCATTATGAGTCTTGGTCTAACTTACTCAGAATTTATTGTATGGGGCCTTTCAACTCGATATTTTAAAGAGAACTTGATACAATGTGTATATGGTATCCATGATGAGTAAGCTGTTGGCCTGATAGAACAACATACAGTTCTATTGTTTGTGCATAGTCAGGTTTGGTAACGGAATTGATTGCTGTACAATGGCTGTATGCTCCGACACACTGTGGAGCAGGTGTATGCTGGGTCAGTGAGTGTGTTGTATCTGTTTCTGTCTGTTGGAGAAAACACAGCTCAGTTTACAAGCAAAACTGTCATTACAATTGCCTTTTTGTTTTATTAATAAATCATGGTTGAACACTTTTGAAGTGGAATAAGTTCCTTCTAATTTGAAGCCTATAGGCTAAGGTACAAACTGTTGTTGGCATATATTGCACTTTTAATTCTGTGCATGCACTTGCCTAATAAGACAGCTGTTCTAATATCCTGCAAAAACAAGTACTGTACAGTTGGACATTTTATAAACCAGAAAATGGACCAATGTTATCCTAAAATTGTATACCATTGACGGGAACCAGTAAGTGTGTTCCAGAAAGAAAGATGGACAGATAGATTTTTCTTTCATTTTCTTTCATTTCAATAAGATTAAACTCCAGTGATTTGAATTTAAGCAATCTACAATTGCTGTAAATGTACAGCGTACACTACTCATGAAGGAGATTCTGTGTGGGTTTGATAGGAAACACATAACATGCTTAACACACAAACAACATACATACTACGCTATGTATATATGGAAACCTGAATTTAGGATACATGAAATATACCTTACATATTTATTATTCGTATAACTTGTGTTAGAGTTATCTTCCTTGATAGATACTGTGAGCTACTTTACACAGACACTTTGTAGGCTTGAGATACATGAGGTCCAATGACTTTGAAATTTAAAATAATGACCTCATTCTGATTTGGTGAATGTTGATTGGTTGTTACAGGTGAAGAGAAAAGACATCCTGGAGGGGATTGTTCTGTTGGTGCTAGTCGGCGTATCACTCATCACATTCCGCCTTGTGTTCATGGGAAACAAACCTCCGGAGTTTGCCCCATCTGATAACCCAGCTTCCGACTCGGAAAGTCTGCTGACCCGGACATTGACTTATTTACTCCTGCCTTCCCTAAACTTGTGGATATTACTGTGTCCGCGAGTGCTCAGCTTTGATTGGTCTATGGACGCTATTCCATTAGTCGAGTCAGCCTGGGATGTACGCAATGTGTATTCAATAGTGTTTTATTTTCTGTTATTTTATAAATCGTATTTGTTAATTTGTGATCTTCATAATAATAGCAATAAAAGTACAATTGGGAAGATTTTCCAGCCATATATGAATGGCAATGGGTTAACCCATCACACACATTCCAATAGTCAAAATAACAACCATCACCATCATAACAAAAACGTGCTTTCATTAAAAAGTAGTAAACTTTTATCGTCAAGTCGACGTCCTTCCAATAGCTCGACGGACAGCGAAGACGAGCAGACAACTGGTGTCAGAATCTACCGATCTCAAGACATTTGTGTTATGGCATTTGCACTCATGGTTTTTCCATTCGTTCCTGCCACAAATTTATTTTTCTACGTTGGGTTTGTGATAGCAGAGCGTGTATTGTACATTCCAAGTATGGGGTTTTGCCTGTTGGTGGCGCACGGTGGCTATGTTGTGTATAAGAAGCTTCAGCGGAACTCGGTGGCACAAAAGGTATTTGCCGCGGCCTTTGTGGCCCTGGTGGCTCTGTTCTGTGGCAAGACAGTGATCAGGAACCGTGTGTGGCAGACGGAAGAGAATCTATACAGATCTGGGGTTTCTGTCAATCCAGCCAAAGGTAACATATTATCAGTTTTCACACTTAACCAATTCACCCCTAAAGTCACATTTGAACCTTACCAAATCAAAGACTGGGCAAGTCCAGTTTAAATATGTAGGGGTCAGTGAGTTTATGTTTGCTGTATCAGTGGTAAATGTATCCATCCATTATTTTGAGTTGACTTCAGATTCTGTATACCGGGAAATGTTCATTGCAGTATTATGAGTTTCACCTTTTTCAACCTCCACAATGAGGGCACATTCATCATGAGAGCTGATGTAAGTTGACAAGGAACCATATATTTATAGTACATGTAAAAGGTAAAACTAACATCGGGTGAGCATACATTTTACCGGTTAATATTTGACTGGATTAAGGTTGCTCTGTAAACAGTAATCAAAAGGCACTTCAAATTAATTAAGAGCTGTTTTGGTTGAGTGGTTTACACTCCAGCCTTCCATGCAGATGGTTTGGGTTTGATCCCGAAAGTGGCCAACTCCACCAAACCAGGTGGAGTATAAAATGGTCTGGGGTGGGTGTTACAGTGTTTCTGCTGTAGCTTTCAAATGAGGTGGCTTTGTGATTAAGGATGCAGTTGGAAGCTCATTCCAACCTCAAAACAGAAAAAGAAACATCTTTAACAAACTGACAGACAGACATTTACACACATGGATATATAAACCAGGTGGCATATAGGGCTAGTTGTTCCTGATAAGACAGCTTTTGCAAACTCCTCAAAAATTGTACTGATTGCATGAATTATATACTCTAACTATGTAGATAGACAGAGGGCTAAGTGTCACATGCTATAATCTGGTCTTGTGCTCCACTATATACAGTCAAAACCTTTTTTTCCACTATCCATTTCATTGTCAGGCATAAGTGTCATATACTCTGTCATCTGCCACTTCTGACTGTAAGTGACATACTGAAATCAGGAATCATTGGCCTTTAAAAATATATACAAAGTTATGGCCCTTTGATAACATATCAAGTTGGGGGACTACGGAATAATCACAACACATGTTTATTTTAATGATGATGTGATCTTCAGATTGTATTTGCATTACTTAAGTTTTAGTATAATATATTTAGATACACAGAAAGATATGTGACTGATATTCAAATGTAAAGAAAAATCTAACAATATTACTTCACTGTCCAAAATCTACGCATCATGACATTATAGAATGAGTTACATTTTCCTTTCTTAAAACGTCCTCATCAATGTAAGCAAAATGATGACAGTTATAATAGCCAGTTTTACATTTATATTAATGTATTAACCATCGGAAATATCTGCGATACTTACAAAAATAAATGTTTTAATTTCACAGCGTGGGGGAACCTTGCCAACGTGTTGAACAGTCAGGGCAAAGTAGGAGAAGCAGAGACAGCCTACCGAAATGCCCTCATCCACAGATCCAACATGGCCGACACCCATTACAACCTGTGAGTCCTTAACTCATCAACCCCTGGAGACACATTTGAACTCTTCCAATTCAAAGGTTGGAATAGTTCATTATGAAACTTCAGGGGTGAATGAGTTAAAATACTTTACTACACATGGCTCATCAAACCATGTCAAATAGTGTCAGACTTTATACTTTCAGGCATTGAATGAACAGAATCTTAGGAATTTTTTGTGTGTTTGTGAGTGGATCCTTATTAGTCTGGACACTTGAATTTTGATTTAAAACTTGGTAATCTTGATACTTTATATTTAGTTAATGTAACAGAGTCTAGTACATATGTAGCTTATTTCGTGGATTCCTGCGATAAAACACTGAAGCCCATACAAGCCAATTGTGACTTTGTCCAGATTATACTGCTGAACAGATTATTACTTTTGAATTATAGCATTTCTGATACATTTATGCCTAGATCAGCAAATACTGGTACAACATTGCATATATAGAATTAATGTTCTGCTATTGTATGACCAATTAATTGTGTTCTTGATAATGATATTTAGTACATTTTAAAATGTTCACTCTTTTGTGTCGAGTTTAACCTCAACACTTGAATGACCTTCTGGCCATGACTTTCATAAATACAAAGGTTTTCTGATAGTATGGCTGAGATCTGTTAATGTACATTTTGAATTAAATTTCACATGAATTTTGATCTACTAGATCTTTATTCCATTCATAGCCAGTAAAGTCCAATTCAGAATTCCACTCGATGTTATTAAAGTGTAAAGTTAATTCTCCTTATTACGAACTTAATACCTTGAGGATTCAAGTACAGAAGGATTTTTACACCTTCTCAACCTCCACTGTTGTCCTTTGAGCAAATTAAGTTATAATATCAAAACGATACATCATAGATACAGTTAAAGAGATTTTATGTGAATATCCCTAAGCAGAATGAAAACTTAAACATTTTGAATTGAAAACGCAATACTTATCTGGTATCAAGTATGACCTTCAGTGACCTAGAGTGGTCCCAAGTAATGACCTTACCTTAGATAGGTCAACTAAGCAGACCCTTACCTTATATGAGCACAGGTATGTGAATTTACAGAGATCCTTATAAAAATATAAGACCACTTCTGTTTAAAGAACATCCTTGATATTTCAATGACATTGAATTTGATATGACGAAACATTGAGGTGGAACACTCGGATGTCATTCTAAGGCTACGGCCTCATTGTGCACCACTTATGTAGATACTCGGAACAAGTGTAAGAGCTCTGGACGTCGATCTACTCGCAAGGAAATATGATGTCAAACTTCAATTTACACCTGTTAGCGGTAACAGACAAAGGCACTCGAATTGTCACAACCAACGGAATCTTGTTTCATGTGAGACATGTTTTCATACTGCCATTTGTTCTAATGTTCGCAGGGGAATTTTATTACAAGACCAGAAGAGGTACGAAGAAGCCATTGAAAGTTACAAACGAGCAATACAGTGTCGCCCTAAACTCTCAAGTAAGTTTGCACACGATCACTGGTGGCCACTTGGGTTTCCAATAGATACATATAGCATGCCTTGCCGTCCAATGGTGGTCAACAAGGGCAAATTTGAATTTGACTTTTTTTTTTTTTTTTTTCTTCAATCTGTAGAATTTATAAGAGTATTTTGTTTCAATCTGTCTGGAAATGATATCATTTTGAATCCAAGGTGATTTTATTGTGAAATTTTCAAGTTTAAAAAAACTTTGAAGAACTGGTGATAGTGATAGTGATGTAACAAGACCATTGTTGTGAGGTTTGATGCGTTTTAGACGGCTTGTCCTAATTATAGCTTTGGGATGTGCGATCTATCACAGTAGGGAATGGGGAATACCAGGAACATTATTATATAGATAATAGGTGAGGTAAATTGAATAATGGTGTCTCCCTAATGACTATGGCCAGCTAATGATGGCGTAGAAAGTCGATGAGTATCACTGAAGATGTGATTCCAGTAAAATTCTGTAAAGAATAAAAATAATGGCATTATTCCAAGTTCAGCTATATTTCAAAATCAATGATATCCTAGCAATTCCGTCAGGAATTCATACAACTGAAATGATTGAGGCCCTAGGAAAATTATTTCCATGTACTTGAACTGAAGTCTAACCCATTCATCTATTGTTCAAGGGGTTTCCCCTGCAGATCGTAAAAAAACATCCAACAAAATTGAAACATTATATCCATCATCAATAGTTAATTTAACCGTAATTAACTGAAGCCAGTAACATTTAATGGCTGTATTATTTGTTGAGCAGGTTGGTGTGTATTTAATGCCTCCAGATTTTCTATATGTTATAATTAAATTGATGTCCTGATATCACACGTCATAGAATTATCATTAAAGTCAGTAAAATAATCACCATAATTAACATGTAAAACACCCATGCTTGGTATTTAGCCTACACTGTCTCCCAGTTTGACGATTATTTGTACCTTTTTGGTTCTATGTCCTGTTCCTCTAGGTATTAGAACAAAATAAAAGTATTGAAGCATGGAGATGACTATTAATTATTTGGAATGCGACAGTTATATTCATTTTTAAAATCAACTTTCTTTACTTTCCACTGCCTTCATTTGGTTTGAACTCGTTATAAGAACACTTCAAGAAATGGTGAAAGTATGATTTTTTGAGCAGTTTTATTTTGATAAGTATCCTATCAACAAGGACATATAAGCAGTTGAATCCAAGCAATAAATAAATAATGTTCAAGGAAGCATGAACATAGAATTAAAAAGATGATTAGAAGATCAATGATGGAGCATAGAATTCGTAAAACACTGTAATAATAAACATGATTGATATGAATTTGATTATTGTGACTTGAAGTGAAATAATGTATATCAGGTAATGTATTCATGATTCAAATCTTGCAAAAAATCTATTCAAAATCAAATTTGTGCATTTTAATTTTTAATTTTTTAACTCCAATTTACTTAATTTACTATAAATATGATTAAAAAGTTTAAGTACAAGCTAATTAAAACTTTATAGAATAGAATTAAAAATGTAATATGTTAAGTAATTAATAGATGAATTGCTTATGACACTTGAAGTAACACTCATTTCAGATATTACATAACTCTAAGCTTTGCCTCAATTTAATATGAAATCATTGATTTCAGTATGGGAACTAATATGTCTTCGGAATCATCTCAATCATATCCAGTACCACGCATGCGTGGTGCGTGGTCATAAAAAAGTGCTCAAACTCCAGATAAATATGCACTAATAAACTTACTTGTAACTGTCTGATTTCTTATGGTGGTATCAAAGAGCAATAATTCAACATGAATGTGTTTACTCGGCCATAAGTTAAACAAACACAAAATATGAAATGATGAGAATTTTTTTCAACGTATTAAGAGGTTCTTCTGGCTTGAATAGTGAACCAAGGTTGAGAATAAAATCTGTGTTTTAATGGAGACAGGCTTTATGAATATGGGTCCATTGAGTTTTGTCAGAAAATTACTGCCACATTCTGTCATAATGTTGCTTTCAGCTTCATTGAAATAATCCATAGCATTTAGTTTCTAGATAATTGAATATCGCTGTAAACAAACTATATGGTGGAACTCTTTTTGTCATTTCTATTTTCAACATGGTTTCGGAAATCGCTTTTGACAGTTTTAAGACTTTCATAGTATTTCCCCAGATTCAACCTTTTAGAGAGAAGAAAGGACTTTAAATCAGTTTCTGCTTTCTGGACGTTATTGAATCCATGTGGCTATAATCATGATTTCTAATTGTGTAATTACCTTGACAGGTCGCTGTGACCTGATAATTATTTTTTCGGATGTTTCAATTTCCCGTCGTTTCGTCTGCACACTGCACTCACGACGGCGGGATCCCAGGAGACAGCGGCAGTGATGCGCTGTGCGATGTCTGGGTCCCTACGCTACGCGTGCTATACGGGGTCGTCGTGTAGTGTTAACGGTGTTGTATCGTATTGATTCCTCATCAAACAAAATTGAGAATATGACAACCTTATAAATTTGATTTCCAGTGTGTGGGTATGCCAGACAGCCAGTGATCGTTTGACAAGCCTTTGTGCCAGGATTGGAATCATGTTGTTATACTGGGCTCAGATGTCACTGTCTAAAATCAATGTTCACCATCATACCCTGCTCCTGTCACTGGCTCCGAATCATAAACATTCTGGTAGAGGCTTTCAAATGTGATACAGAACTTTCAGCTCGATACATGGGTCTCTAACTCGCAACTGGAAATGATCAAAGATTCAAATATAACAATATATTCTGGTAGAGGCTTTAAACACAATACAGAATTTGCTACATTATACACAGTGTCTCCAACTTGCAACTAGAAGTGTTTGAAGATTTTTTTTGGTGGGGGAGGGGGTCGAGGATGGAGAAGGGAGATGATTATTAACTCATTCACCTCTCAAGTCACATTTGAACCTTACCAAATCAAAGGCTGGGCAAGTCCATTTTAAAAATTGTATTCACACATAGCATTTTACCATGATGCAGAAATTACCAGTACATCTAGTCACAAACTAGAATATTGTAGATAAATAGTTGAATAAGATTAAGAAATGATTTGCCATGTACTTTTTTAGCCACTTTCAAACTTTAAAGGGTAAAAGGAAGACAGGGAGGGCTGTCAAAATTAAGGTTCCTTGCTTAGTTGCTGCCAATTATAAAAGATATAAGACCATTACGAGGGTAAATGAGAATCACGACGCAGATCAAACGTCCATCTATCTTTAACTCAAACAAGGAATATTTTTAATATTTTAGAATTAAAAAGATAAAGCTACTGTACGGTTAATTTAGCAGTGTCAAACTCTTGAGAGTTTTGTTCTTGAGGCAAGTTTTTGGGTTTAGATTTTAGACAACATTATAATAGTGTACATGTTCAATAATGGTGCAACAAATTGATGTTGAAATTGTTTATCTATTTCCTGTTATTTACAGCGAATATAAAACCTGTGTGAAAATAAAGTTTTCTATGTGTAACACAGTAAATATAAGTGTTGTGCAGTATATATGTATATATATTGTATACTATAAATGCAGTATATATATATTGTATACTATAAATGCAGTATATATATATTGTATACTATAAATGCAGTATATATATATTGTATACTATAAATGCAGTATATATATATTGTATACTATAAATGCAGTATATATATATTGTATACTATAAATGCAGTATATATATATTGTATACTATAAATGCAGTATATATATATATTGTATACTATAAATTAAAGTAACCGTAAAATATTACCTGGTATGTGTGTTTTAGATTATATATACCTAGGTACATGTAATGTGGTAAATAGGCCTATATGAATATAAATCATTATATATATTACACCTTAAAGGAGATAATATTCTTATAAAGTGAACACATAAATACACTACAATAATAGTCTGCAAAATTTGCCTTTTCAATCTTGAACTTGAAATTGATTGTGTCAGGGTCTAGAATCAATGTTCATCCATTTCCTCACTGTCTCAGCTGATCATAAACATTGACAGCTGCTTTTAACAGGATACAGAACATTCCACTGCGTCATCTGAGTCTCGACTCACAGCCTGAAATATAACGATATATTGGAATCATGTAAGACTTTTTCTAGCAGTTTTGACTTTTCAGGCAAAAGGATAAAAAGTGTGTACTATGGTATGGCTTATGCAGCTTCTGGTATATGTTGACATGTAGACATCTTTTGCAAATGGTTTTTATTCAAGTCTGGTGATCGATATTTCATATCTTGATTCTAGTCGGCTTTTAATAAAATCTCCAGTCTATGGAGTGGGTTTGGCAGTTAACTTTACATTGGTACAGTATCTTGGGCAGATGATGATGGATATTGTCTTTTTAGTGAAATAATGATATCCTTATTTTTGGATGATCTTTAACAGAGTTGATATAGTGTATGCTTCACTATGGCAGTATGTGATAATAGTTTGGACAGCTGTTGCAGCAATGATGCTGAACTTTGACCTCATTGAAATGTTTGCATTGTGATGTCACCAGTAAAACTGTATCCATACCAGCTATAAAGGAATATGATTTCTCATACTGCTCATTTTAATTGAACTTTTTATGTACGTACATAATAATAGCGTTAGTTTTGTTCTTGTAAGCCAATTCCCCCATTACATGATAAACTAACCATGACAAAATGTTAATCTGATATGTTATTGAAAAACATGAAATCAAAGAAAATCTTTCTCTGAAGTGAAGGCTGCCAACATTTTGTATTTCCAGCCATTTTCCCAAGTTGTCTCCCTTTTATACCCCCCTCCCTGGCCTTTAAGGAAACATCTCCTTCAAGAAACATAGAAGTAATTACTTGTAGGGTACAATGAAATAAGTACTGCCATAAAGACATTGTGAAGTTAATAGAAAAACTTAGAAAGTTATCCTGCNCACCCCCTCCTTGGCCTTTAATGTCAATTAAAACTTGAAATTCATTAACAGATATTTT